CAGAGGCAGCACTCTAACGAAAATGAGATAAGAAATCTGGGGTTGTTTGTTGAAGGGAGTTTCTACATCTGGTGACTTTCACCCTCTTAACAGATTTTCAGACTGTAAGGCCGGGAACAAAGTGCCTCTGAAGTTCCTTGAATTGTACGCTTCAGAGCTTTCTCTAGGGTTTTCCCAATTATTTGTGGGACTGGCCGCTTTGAAACTGCAATGGGGATTTCAATTTATGATACAAATGCCAATGATACTCATGGGGATAGAGACGTGGTTTAGGCAAAGACCTCGACTGATAGACCCTTGGATAAGTACAAGCTCCTGAGAGGCCAATAATGAAGAAGGCAAACGTCTTTGGATTAATACTAGTCGACCTACACCTTCTCTTCGCTGTCTCTGGCCACCTGTGTGCCCCGCTCTAAAAGACTGGGTTTATGTGTGTTAAATTTCTTCTTTCACGGACTCTGACCATAAAGAGTCTCCTAAAGGTGGACACCCCGGGTCCGGCCTTTTGCTGGGCGACAGACACACTGCTCCGCCTTTATACATACTTTTGAGAGACTGGGTTTCCCGGGCTTTCGGCTGGTGCAAAACAAGAATAACTGGATGTTTTAGCTCAACAGCAGTCAACCTCCGGCTAAGGAGGGGCGAGTCTCACTCCCTCCTAAGGACTCAGCCTGAGAGAGAGTGGGAGTTTTTGCTTAGGATTCAGGACTGGGGGGAAAGTCCCTCCTATCCTTGGGCCTCACTTTTCCCCATCTGTGAACTTGGGAGAATGACCTCAGAGGAACCCTTCAGGGCAAACCCTTTAGCCACTCAAGCCCTGGTGCTGGAGAAGGGGTACTGCTCTCCTACCTGTCTAGGGGCTCCTCTCCTCACCTGGACCAGGAACCCCTAAACGGATACCGGAAGCTTCCACCGGATGCCTCGTCTTTTTGGACTCCAGACTTTTTTTTTTTTTTTTTTTAATAAGAGGAAACAATGTGAAAAGCCTCCTCTGATGAATTCTTTCAGAGCTCAAGCCAGATGAATTCCCAGCACAAGTCAAGACTTGGAAGCAAGAATGTGGGCTGGGGAGTAAGAGGCTAAGAGCCAGAGTTCCAGCGAGTACTCCCTCAAAAAAAAAACAAAAAACAAAAAACAAAACAAAACAAAAAAAAAACAGTGCCCAAGCTAGGGGCTGGGAAGGCTTGTAAGTGCGGGGTTGGTATTTGTCCATCTCTTCTGACCTTCTTACCTTACAGAGGGGAAAATGGGGGCCCAGGGAGGGAAACGAGCTTGTACAGTAAGTCCTGGGCCCAGAGGGTCTTCCTCTATGTTCTGATGCTCATTTGTCCCAAAATGTCTCAATAATACCCTGTCCTGTCTTGTTCCAGCCTACGTGTTGCACACAGTGGGGGCCCGGTAACTATCTATCATGAGGGGCTGATTTGTCATAAGAGGATCCAGGGATGGTAGGAAGACGTCAGCCCTGCCGTTCACACCTGGAGGTTCCCAACGTGTATTTTAACAAATGCATTTTTAGCTTAAACCATGAGCCTATTTGCTCATTTTATTATTTATTTTATTTATTTTTAAAGTTTATTTATTTTGAGAGACAGAGACAGAGAGAGAGAGAGAGAGCAAGCAAGGGAGGGGTAGAGAGAAAGAAGGAAAGAGAATCCTAAGCAGGCTCCACGCTGTCAGCATGGACCCTGATGTGGGTCTCGAACTCCTGAACCGGGAGATCATGACCTGAGCTGAAATCAAGAGTCAGTTGCTTAATTGACTGAGTCACCCAGGAGCCCCTATTATTTATTTATATTTAAAGTGGGCGTGGAGCGCCTTTGTGGCTCAGTTGGTTAAGTGTCCAACTCCAGCTCAAGTCATGATCTCATGGTTTGTGAGTTAGAACCCTGTGTTGGGTTCTGTGCTGACAGCTTGGAGCTTGAGGCCTGCTTCTAATTCTGCATCCCCCCCCCCCCGCCCCTTCACCGCTCATACTCTGTCTCCCTGTCTCTTAAAAATAAATAAACATTAAAAAAATTAAAGTGGGCTCTACACCCAATGTGAGGCTTGAACTCACAACCCCTACCTAGATCAAGTGTCGTGTGCCCTACGGACTGAGTCAGCCACAGGCCCCCTATTTTCTCACTTTAAAAAGAGCCGTAGTATATACAGTCAACAACACTTTCTGGGGAGGTCGTTGTCTTAATCATTCTGGAGCTATAACTGAGGCATTTTGGAAACGCAAAACTCAAACAGGCCGGAAAGCCATGCCATCCAGCTGCCACCCTCAGTTACTATCATTGGTAACCAGTGTCCGGCCACACAGCCAGAGCCCTGGGTAGGGTCCGTGGGCCTCTCTGCGCCTCTGCTGCCTGAGGCTGGCGCTGCCCCGGGAGGCTGGGGCCCTGGCACTGGCCTCTGCCCAGGGCTGCTTCTCCTTTCACAGAGAACATGTCTGCACACAAGCCCTCCTGAGCCACCTTGGAGTCCCTCCAAGGTCAGACCTGGAGGCCAGCCAGGAGCGAGGGTGCTGCTGGGAGGGACACATCCAGGGGAAGCAGAGCCCGTGGCCGGCAGGCACACGCATACAGACGCTCGCAGGAGGTTGGAAGAAAAACTGGAAATCTGGATTTTTATGCGGACTGTCCTGATGTTTAAAACGCTCCGTGAGCCACAACCCAAACCCAAACTGGGTGAGTCTCCCCACAAGCTATGTCTGTGGCTCCTACTCGCGCCCCCTGATGGAGTCTGGCACATGTACGGCCTGAGCAGAGGTCACCCAGACTTTGCAGGAAGTGTGTACTCGCCCAGGTGCAGACCTTGCAGGCACGTGATGGAGAGAAGTCATCAAACATTTACATACACTTGCTGTCTCCTGTGGTGTCACTGTAGTGTTCACTTTCCAGCTAAGGAGACTGAGTGTCGGAGATCTCCAAAGTCGCGTAGCTGGTGGGCGGCTGGACTTGCACCCCGGGCCACCTGACCGCAAAGCTAGTGAACGACCACACAAACCGCCTCCCAGGTGCCTTTGCTCCGAACTGAAAGCCTGCTGATTTGCATCCCTTGCTAAACTCAGCTCCCTGCGCTTACAGACTGTGTCTTGTCTATATCTGCATCCCCAACCCCTAGCACAGGGCACAGCGGAACATAGCAAGTGCTCAATAAATACTTGGTTGGAGGCGTTGCCCACCGGCAAATGGGCAAGTGTGCACAGACGGGCACCTATGAACCCACCTACCTCCACCGTGCCCGGGAACACCTGAACGCTGTGGCCTCCACAGGAACACCCCCCCTCCCCATTCCCCACTTCCCAGGGCAACCAACCGAGCTGGGCCTCCCTGAGCCTCCCCGCCAGCCTTGCCCCAAACCTTCACAAATCGTTTCCTGGAAATCTCAAGACGGCTGCGGTGTTCTTTTTCCCTAACTCAGGAGACAACTCAGCAGTTTTGTTTTTCAAAGTCTGGGACTCATAAACCTGGAACTCTTTCTTCGTTTTTTTCCACTAGAATTTTCCTTGGCTGGATGCCTTTCCCCAGGGCCTTGGCCAAGAGGTTGCGCTCAGCACGCCCTCTGCCGGGTGCGGCCCTCCGAACCCAGTAGGCAGTTGCAGAGGGGGAGAGACGGGAGCTGTCTCAGATGCAATCCCTTTACAGATGGGGAAACTGAGTCAGACAGTGGCAATGGGGAGAGGCTGGGGAAGGTGGGCTTTTTCTGAGTATGTGCCGATGCATGTAACTACTAAGTGGCCTTGTGATTTTTAAAACTTAACAGAAGACCACGGGGGGAGGGAAGGGGAAAAATAGTTTCAAACAGAGAGGGAGGCAAACTCATCAGAGACTCTTAAATACAAACTGAGGGGGCATGTGGGGAAGGGGCGGGGGAGAGGTGAAACATGGGTGACGGGCACTGAGGAAGGCACCTGTTGGTATGAGCACTGAGTGTTGTATGTAAACGACGAATCACGGGAATCTTCCCCCTGAAACCAAGAGCACACTGCATATATTGTACGTTAGCTAACTTGACAATAAATTATATTTAAAAAATAAAATAAATTTTAAGAAATGATAAAAGCAGAAATAGCTTCCAGAGCTCAGACATTGCAGGAAAGGCCCTCTGCTCTCGCTGGCCTCTGTATGGGGCAGAAGGCAGAGGTTTGGGAACTTGGTCAGATTCATCTTCTTCCTTGATTCCCTATCACATTTAAGCGGCAAGGATATCAAGACATGAGAGATGTCGGGGGAAGGAACAGGAATAATATTCCCAGAGCGGCGGCTCTGCGGTAGTGGTGTGGACCAGCTCTCTCTTGCTTAATCTTCACACCAACCTGCTGCTGAGGTAGGTGGTTTTGTTTCCATTTTACAGATTAACGCATAAAGGCCGAGGGAGGTCAGAAAGGGTAGGAGCAAAGCTGAGATTTGAATCCAAACCTGATGTTTTCTTGCCTTTGCAGCCTCCTAGAGTTTTCCCATTTCCCTTCAGTGGGCCCAGGGTGAAGCCTTTGTGGCTGGGCTCACGGACGCAAGGTTTTATGGCCCTGCTGCTCAGAGAGAGCGGCCCTCCCCTCGGCCTCTCCCAGAGCCGGCTTGGGGGCCGCCGGGAGATGGTTGAGCAGCCCCATCGGGCTTGAAGTGAGGGCCCCGGGGCTGGAAGGGGGGTCCTGGCACTTCCAGCTGTGCCAAGGCCCCTTAACTAAGAGTGGAAAGAGGATCGGATGTCTTTATAAGCCGAACTCAGGAGAAGATCCAAAGGGCAAGGGTTTTCCTGGAAAAGAAAGCAAGTCCTGGAAGGTTTTTGTTTTGTTTTTCTTCTTAATGGGACCCTGGTTAATGACTCAAGGAAATGAAGAACACATTTCACCAACAAGTAGTCACTGCCTTTCTCAACCCATTCTGCATCTCGCTGCCCTTCAGAACTGACTTCCTGCAGACAAAGAGCCAGACCCCTTATCCTGTTGCTTTGGGGTCTGGCTTGGTCTTAGCTTTCGCTTGTCCCATTTAAACAGACTACTTAGGGTGCTCTCCTGTCTGCTCTGCTTTCCCTCGAAGTAGGCACCCGTCCATTTCCAAGACATATTTGACCCATGGATCTATTTTATGCTTGTCACAGCCTTTGAAGAGAACAGCCACCACACTCATGGCAGGGATTTTGCGCTCATTAGTTCAGAGACCCCCAGGCAGACTCCAAACTGTAACAAAAGGTGTGGAGTCTCTCATTTGTACAGATTGGATTCGTCACAAATTTACCAAGTCAAGAATTCCAGATAAAGTATTTCAGCCTTCACCTGCAGATCATGAAAAATATGGTGGGGATCCACAGCAGCCTCATAAACTACATATTGTTACTAGAATGAAGAGTACAAAAAGATGTCCATATTGGGAAAAAGATATAATAAAGATGCTTGGATTAGAAAAAGCACATACTCCTCAAGTTCACAAGAATATCCCTTCAGTGAATGCAAAACTGAAAGTGGTTAAACATTTGATAAGAATCAAGCCCCTGAAGTTGCCACAAGGACTTCCAGCAGAGGAGGACATGTCTAACACGTGCCTCAAGAGCACTGGGGAGTTAGTGGTGCGGTGGCATCTAAACCCTGTAGATCAGGGAGCAGTTAAGTCCTAATGCCAGAGCAGGGTCATATTGAAAAATGTGCATCATTTTTATTTAAAGATAGAAAATGTTCTCATTAAAATATATTTTAAATACTAAAAAAAAATAAATAAAAAATAAACAGACTACTTAGTGGGGTCTGTACATACCTCCCTGATTCCACCACGAGGCATTTATTCACACAATTCCCTCTCTGCAAAGACTTCGTTTCAGCTTATGCTTATCTTCCTCCTTCTTTGGGACCCAGCTCGGAGGCTGCCTTCTCCATGGAGCCTTCCCTACTGTGTCCAGCAGGGATGGTGCCGCCTCAGGCTCACCTTATGGATACAGTTCCAGTTCTCCTAATAGACTGAAATTCTTGAGAAATGGTGGTAGGAGCATTTTTGATTCCCTTATGTGAGCACGTGTGTGTGTGTGTGTGTGTGTGTGTGTGTGTGTGTGTGTGTCCTGCATGCTACTTAGCGGTACAGTGCGATAGCAAAAGCCCCGAGACCCTTGGGGCTGGCTTTAGATTAGAGTTGAATACTGTGTTGGAGTGAGCTATTGTGTGTCTCCCTTTCTCAAGTCAAGAAGGAGGGGCTTCTTTACACCTGAAACTAATATAATATTGTATGTTAATTATACTGAGAGAGAGAGAGAGAGAGAGAAGGAGGGAGGGAGGAAGGGAGAGAGATGTTCCATGGAATCTACTCAGAGAGCTTAATATATGTCTATGGTAGTTTGAGATGGGGAGACAGGTGGACTGGCCTCTGACAGCCACCATAGGAATCTGAAGGATGAGAGGGGCGCTTGGGTGGCTCAGGTCATAATCTCACATTTTGTGAGTTTGAGCCCCGCGTCAGGCTCTGTGCTGACAGCTCAGAGCCTGGAGCCTGCTTTCGATTCTGTGTCTCTTTCTCTCTGCTCCTCTCCTGCTTGGCTCTGTGTGTGTGTGGGTGTGTGTGTGTGTTTCTCTCAAAAAAAAAATTAAAAAATTAAAAAAAAATGTTTAAGGGATGGGAGATGGGTGTCATCATAGGGCAACAAGACAGAGGGGGAGGTGGCACTGCTCAGATCTCCCTGAATGCCCCGAGATGGTTTGTGCAAAGGATGCTGTTCCCAGGGACTAGAAGAGGGCCATGCATTGGAAGAACTGACGTGAAGGCCTCTTAGGTGTGTCTAATGGAGGCACGAGCTGAAGTTATCTCTGGATTTTTAGGGTCACAGAAGGAGTGAACAGCAGGATCCAAGGTGGTGCCATGCCCACAGAAGGGTGAGAGGTCCTCAGAGCTTGCGGGACAAGCGTCTGAAAAGTCTATGGATGTGTCCACACAAGAGTCAGCTTTAAAGCCATCTTACGATAGTGTTGGTCAGGGAAGAGCTCGCCTTTTTTTTTTTTTTTAATGTTTATTTATTTTAGAGAGAGAGAGAGAGAACACGAGCAGGGGAGGGGCAGAGAGGGAGACACAGAATCTGAGGCAGGCTCCAGGTTTTGAGCTGTCAGCACAGAGCCTGAGGTGGGGCTTGACCCATGAACCACGAGATTGTGACCTGAGCCAAAGTCTGATGCCCAAATGACTAAGCCACTCTCCTTTTTTTTTTTTTTAATGTTTATTTATTTCTTTTTGATATATAGAGAGCACACAGGAGGAGCAGAGAGAGAGAATCCCAAGCAGGCTCTGCACTGTCAGCGCAGAGCCCGATGCAGGGCTTGAACCCACGAACCATGAGATCATGACCTGAGCTGTCCAAGAGTTGGACGGTCAACCGGCTGCGCCACCCGGGCGCCACTCCTGCTCTCCTTTCTTCTGCCTCTCCTCACCTCGCCACTCCCCACCCCTCTAGCCCTGGAGAAGTCAGAGTCACAGTTAGCAAAGTGGGGAAAAGAATCAACTGTCCACACCCCCGTCCCCAGCTATAGGGTCCTACCTGCAGCAAGCCCTGTTGGAAGAAAAGGCAGAATTTTAAATCAAATTCGGGATTTTGCCTTTGTTTGTGACTGAGCATCTCATGTATGAATAGTGTTTGTTTGGTGATTGAAGTGCTCCCCAAACTTCTCATTTCCTGGGAGTGAGCGGTCAGACAGGTTGGAGGATGCTTGAATTCTCACGAAAGGGCAGAGAAAGGGCGTCCCTCCTGCAGGGGGTTGGGAAATGAGATTAAGTTGATTTACGATTATACACTGTATTGTAAAATAGGCCATCTTCCTTGGTTATATTTTTCTACTCACCGGGGTTTGGTGTCTGCTTCTGTCACTTCCTCCAAAGCAATCAAGTCCCTGTGCTTGCCTTAGATAAAGTCACTTAACGGCAGTAACCATTCAGCTGTGCTTCAGGCTTCAGATCCTATCTTGAGGGAGATTTTAAGGAGCCTCATGTCCAAGGGCAACAGACTTGGTATCAATTTTCCTTTGTTGCACATTCCTTTTTTTTAAATTTTTTATTAATGTTTTTTTATTTATTTCTGAGAGAGAGAGACAGCGTGAGCAGGGCAGAGTCAGAGAGAGAGGGAATCTGAAACAGGCTCCAGGCTCTGAGCTAGCTGTCAGCACAGAGCCCGATGTGGGGCTCGAACCCATGAACCATGAGATCATGACCTGAGCCGAAGCCGGACACTTAACCGACTGAGCCACCCAGGCACCTCTGAATTTCTCTCTTCTTACAAAGATGCCTGACATATTGGAATAAACGCCTACCCTTCTCCAGCAGGACCTAATCTTACCCTGACTAGTTATATCTGCAATAACCCAATTTCCAAATAAATTTACATTCTGTGGTGTTGGGGGTTAGGGTTTCAACATACCTTTTTTTAAATGTTTATTTATTTTTGAGAGAAAGAGAGAGCAGGGGAAGAGCAGAGAGAGGGGGGAACAGAGGATCCGAAGTGGGCTCTGCACTGATAGCAGAGAGCCTGATGTGGAGCTTGAACTCACGAATCATGAGACCATGACCTAAGCTGAAGTAGGACGCTCAGCCTAATGAGCCACCCAAGCACCCCTCAACATATCTTTTTGAGGGGGACACAGTTCAACCCTTAATGTCTTTCCTTCTCACTTCCCAAATTTTCATCTTCTCCTGTCTTCCCCAATGGTATAATTGGTACCTGTAGTAGCTCAAGTCAAGAATCCATGAGTAATCCTTGATTTCTCTGCCTTCGTCACCCTATCCCAATTCCTTCTACGAACCTTTATAGCCCTTCTTCCAAAAATATCCCCAATCCAGCCATTTCTCTTCTTCTCCATTTCCACCCTGCCAGTTCAAGCTACTATCCTTTTTTACTGGAATAGCTGCAAGAGCTCCTAACTGGTCTCTTTGCCCCTTTCTCTTCTACAGTCTGTCTCATACCCTTGGCTTAGTATTTATTATCTACTGAATAAAGTTCAAACACCTCACCCGTGCTTACAAAATCCTATTGATCTGGCCCTCCCCCCTCCTCCAAACTCATTTTGGATCACTCGCTTTAATGATCAGCTTTCTTGCAGTTCCTTGGACCACTGGCCTCCTTTTCTGGAATATTCTCTTCCTGACCTTCGTATGGGTGCCCCTTCTTGTCCTGAGAATCTCAGCTTAAAGATCATCTTATTTAGTGACATTTAAGAGGCCTTCCCTGACCACTTAATCAAGAGCAGCCGCTGAGTTATTATCTACCACAGACCTTTATTTTAATTCTCTGCAGAGAATTTTGTAAGTGGATTGTTTTTCTCTTTTATGTAGGTATTTATTGTCTTTTTTTCCCAAATTAAAGTTAAAATGTCCTTCCTAGGAGAGCAGGGACCTTGTTGACGGTTCCACCATCTAGAACTGTGTCTGGCACACAGGAGGAACTCAACAAATATTTACCCGATGAATAATTAATCCTGCACAGGGGATCTTTGTGTATGAACTCCCCCTCTCCCTACCCACTTTTGGAAATTTATTTTATCATAAATAATCCAAGAGGGGAGGATTCCTGGATCAAGGAATAGAAACATAGTTTGGCTCTTGTAATGTACTGCCAAAAGTGGTTTGCAGAGATGTAAGGTCAGTTTTCATTTGTTAGGCAGCGTTTAGAGTCCCAAGTGCCAAGGCAGTGGTGTCTGGTGTGGGGGGGAGAGCGGGAGGGGGGGGAGGGCTTCGGCCACAGTAGGGATGGCAGGGTAGGGCTGCTGTGGCTCATGGGCCAGGCCTCGGCGGCAGCAGAGATCAACCATCCAGCAGGCCCTTCGTTCCGGTGCTGGTTGGGAGGGAGGCCCGCCTGCAGCTGCGCACACAGGGGGCCTCATCTGCTGCACGAACTTGGGTGCAGCTGGAGGAGCCAGACTGAGCGGAAGAGCTGGATGGTACACCTGCTCCTTGGCGCAGTGGGGCCTAGTTCTGGAGTCCAGGTCAGGAAGCAGAGAGGGTGTGGAAGCTGAGGACACACGGTGGGGCTTGCACCCGGTATACTGGAGGCCCCTTTGCAAAGGTTTTTTCTGGATTGGAGCTTTTCTGCTTAGAACATGGAGTCTGGAACTTTAGGCGTCTGAGCGCCTGCCTTGCACAGTTCTGCACACAGCCAGGCCCACGCAGCAGTGCCTTGTCCTGTCTCCTCAAACTGCTGCAAGAGCTAAAATAGCAGATACACGTAAGGCGCTCAGAATAGGGCCTGGCACAGTATCGGCATCATCCAAGTGTTGATTATTGGTCCTTTGCCCTTGCTCCTCATGGGACAACTGTAAGCTTCCTGATGGCAGAGACTATATTTGAGGCAGAATAGTGTAGTGCTAATGGGTCAGGCTGCCTGAGTTCTAAATCTGGGCTCCAATACCTACGAGCTGAGTGATCCTGGGCAAATGACTTAACTTCTCTGTTCCTCAGTTTACCCCTCTGTAAAATGGTAATAATGAAAGTACTGGCCTCGTTGGGTTTCTAGTGGGTTAAGTGAGTTGATGAGTGTAAAAAAGCACAGACAATGCCTAACATATGGACAGCAGTGGATTTAATGACTGAGTGGATTTAATGGATGCTCTGATCAGCCCTGCAAGGGCAGCCTATGCTTTCCTTAGTGACCTCCTTCCTTCTCTTTTTTTCTTAAGACCTCTTTCTCATTGCCGCCCTATGTTTCTCTGGCTCCCAGAATCCCTCAGCCTTTCCTG